AACGGATTCTGGTATTCAGACGAAACCCTCGCTTTGAGGAGACCTGTAATCTTAACGGTGGAACTGGCCTGATCGATTCGACTCCATTTTAATAGCCGGTCTTGGGCCCTGGAAGCGATTACTGTGTTGCGAGCCACCATATCCCGAACCTAACGAAGGTCTACCATTTCCCTGATAGGCAGGGGTGAGGCGAGGGCCGCTCGCCGGTCGGTAAAACCGGGTATTTGGTCCAAAATTCGCCGGTGGGGGAGACTGGACGAACGAGCCTCCTGCAACCGCCTGTAACTCCTTACAAAAGAAGTATGCTTCCTGTAAATCTTTTGGTCTATGCATGACCAACTGTCTGGAGGCGTCGTTACCGACTCCTCGAATGAAGACGTCGAGAGCCTTGTCCCTGGAATGCTCGGACAGAGCCCTGTCTGAGCCCTGACTGCCTCCATTGGGTATCCCATGGCTTTTAATCCGTTGAGGATAAGAGAGAGGTGTTTATTCACCTCCAAATAACATTCTTCCAAAGTCTTATTCCCTTGGCTCAGCTGTCCAAGCTGATACTGCAGCGTTCGCACATCGCGTTTATCCGCGTATTGAAACGCTAGAACTCTTCTAGTCTCTGGCCAGTCGTCATCCAAAACCCCAGAAGAGTCGAGAGCTCCTTCGGCTTCGCCTCTTATTTTCTGTCTAATGTGGCAAAGGTTTTCCTTTGATAACTTCATAGCCATCCAAGATAACTTGCGCACGGTTGACCCAAGAGACGTATCTCTCAGGCTGCCCCACGAACGTTTCAAGTTCCTTAACGCAATCGGGAAGCGTGAAAACTTCCCTCAGCTTGAAATCGTTGCGCGCACGCGTCAAGGGCACCGGGGTGGTATCTATTGGGTTACGGGCTTTAGATTTTGATATATTCAGTGTATATCGACAGTGACGGACGAGTTTTGTGTTGTGTGGAACTTAGCACTGGGGACGTATTTTTCCTATTTGGCCTTTGCCTACTAGGGTACGGTTGCCACACAAACCACTGGGCAACTCTTTCGGGCGCCTCCGCACCGCTCAGCCTATCGAGCAGATTGCCACCCGCCCTATTTTACAATTCACAGTTTATTTTGTTATTATTCTTCTGGTTTTATCTAGGTTTTAGGTTAACGCTATGAGCTTTGACTCACGAATGGGCTTCTCGCTCCGTGGATAGTCGGCTCGTCCTTGCCAGGATTCTCCGGAGTAAGTGAATAGTATGATTCCGTTCGAGACTTAGAAACACAAGCCATGTTAGAAGACAGTATTAGAAGATAAATACAAAAAAACGTTTGGTAATATATTTTTAAAGCTTAAAGTAAAAAAATAAAGAATACCATATCCCCAATATCATTTTGGAAAACTTAGGCAAGGCAGAATATTTTACCACGTTAGATTTAAAGTCTGGTTTCCACCATATATTAGTCGCTCAATCAACGACCGTATACACCGAAGAACAAGTGGAAGCTACCTGAGTCCCACAGTGACCACAGTCTTAATAAAAGAGAGGATTGTTCGCAAGGACGATTACACCAGGTTTTGACCAATAACGGGTATTGACCAGACTACACTGGCTCGAACTGCATACCATTTCCTCAGATACTAGTCTTGTTCTTGCGACATATAAGACTCTCATAGCAACAGTAAATGTAGACATTTATTTAGCAGAATTAATCAATCAATGCTATGTGGCATCGCGTTAGAATTTGTAGCAGATACCCCCGATTTCGACGACTTCGAGAATTTGAAACTTCCACAAAAAGAGCTCAATGAACCAGAAAACAAACAGATACATATTAATACAAACGCAAAAAACAACTAAGCGCGATAACAAACACTGTTGATCTAATAAGTTTTTTATTTTCCGAGAAATGAAAGACGAGCTAGTGTGTATATATATATTTTTGTTTTATTTGTTTGTTTAGAAGAGATTCTGCATCGATGCGCATATGTATAAGTTACGAACGCGATTGAAACGAGCGACTTAAATGCAAGCGCGAGAGGCAAGATAAAAAGAGCGCGAGAGAGACAAGGGAAGATAATCACACAGATGAGGTGCCGTAGATATAAATTTTGTAAATGGCAATAAACAAAAACAAATTAAGTACCTTCTGGCGGCTGCGAAACCCGACCTACGCGCCCTATTGGAAGCTTGGCTTTCAACAGAATCGAAAATATTGGAGGAAATAACAGCTGTGATGTCGGTCGAGTAGTTTGAGATCGCATTGAAATATTTACTGACGAACCATCTGCATCTAAACTAGAATCGCCTATTCCGGTAACACAAGCTGATGATTTTGCCTCTAAGTTGAAGCTAATCTGCGAGTCGGAATGTGCAGTAGAGATCTAAAGTTGAGAAGAGCACGGCAAGGAACCAAGGTTCCTCAACGGGCTTTAACTAGTACGTTAGCAATAGCTAGGAACACAACATCCTTACTAAGATCCTGTGCAAGCAGCGCAGCAGACATCCCAGACAATGCAGTGGGTTCGCCAGCATGTGAGTCAGAAGCATGCGTTTCTCCAAGCTTTGATCTCTCTTGTGACGAAGGCGAAGCCAAGTATCCCAGATGAAGCAGAGTGTGGTGCTTAGAGGCACGGCAACTGACGGAGTTGCAATGTCTCAGTTCATGACCAATCTTGAGACAATGAGTGAGGCAATGAGTGAGCCTTTTGGCTTCTCTAATCGATTAGCCGAGGTCAGGTTTTTCAAGCTCTGGAAATTGAGTGTCTAGAAGCATTGCAAAAGACATAGGTCGAAGGACAGAGGCTTGTGGCAAGCAAGGCGGACGCAAATCAGATGTACGATTACTTCGCACCCGGTCGCCTGACGCATAGTTTGCCATGGCGAAATCCATAGACTCCAGGGTCCTGCATCGCTGCTCCAGAAACAATTCCATGAATTCCCGTTGGAATTGTATTCTTGAAGAATACAAATGCTCCTCCCACCTGGCCTGACTCGCCGAATCCAGCTTCTGAAATATTACTTTGACGATGACGCATTCAGTTTTTTGTTGAAGCATTGAAACTGAACCACTCTGCACTGACCAAACGACGATTAGCAATTCTGTTTTTTAATAAATCCAATGCTATAGCATAGTTGCCATCCAATATTTCCAGTGAGCGAATGCTTTCCAGCGCAGTTTTCCTGCGTGATTGAAGATGCTTAAGCTTTTCTATGTTCGTGAGATCAGAATGGTTATCTATTATCGTAGTAAACCTAGAATAAAAATCTTACCAATTAGCATAGTCTACATCGAATATTGTGAGCTCAAGAGAGGGCAGCGACGGTATGAGTGGACGCTGCTGATGGCCACAATCACATGGAGAAATGGCGTCAGCAAAGGTTAAGTGGGAGTGCATTTGCAAGGTGCGCTTTGAAATGACTCCTTATGTAATTTTGAGCAACCAACGGAACTTCATTTATTGCTCACTGGCTTTAATCTGTTCCGAATATTGGAGGCAAATACTGTTGTTTGACAACAAACTCTACAAAAGCGATATAATTAAATTTTGAGCTTTAAACAGTAATTTTATGATTTACACTATTTTTGTTTATGAAAAATCACGTCGGGGTCACCAATATTAAGCTAATTTTTATTGAACTATTTTCCGAGAAATGAAAGACGAGGTAGTGTGTAGCGAGTTCGATGATTGATGTGAGCGACTTAAATGTAAAAGTGCAAGCTCGAGAGCACAAGATAGAGAGAGCGCGAACAAAAGACGCCCCTAGATAAGAAAAGGTAATCGGACAGCTAAGATGCCGTAAAGATAAATTGTGTCTCCAATGATGCCAATAAATAAAAACATAAATTTAGTTACTGCTGGCGGCTGCGAGGCCCGACAAACACAGTAAATCTTTATCAAAAATGCAAAAACAAAACAAATCAATACAGAACACTTATACGAAACCTTGCATTCAAGAAATAGGATTATCATTTCTGCACTCGAAACCTTAATGTTATCGATCACTTTAACAAAAATTGGAATAATCAACTTTGCAATTTTAAACTCTAGCGATTCATAAAATATAATCGATGAACACTCTACAAATATTACGAGTACAGGCCTAATGGGAGTAGCCCAAATTATAGTTTAACTTATTAAAATTTTCTTCATTTTACAATAAAATATCCTAAGCCCAGCCTAGCATGTAAGAAAACAATCCTCCATCCTGTCCAGCACATTTTGCGTAAAACTGCAACATCATAGCCGACTGTGATAGTGAAATATCGATTTGGAATTGCAATGCTACCCTGTAAACATTTTTAACATTTTGTAAGAAGTCGGTCTACACAACCTGTGCGCAACAGCATACTGTATTATTCGACCGAGCCACCTTGACGGTCACCGACGACGTCGTTACAATAATCAATAATGAAACGGCTACAATCAACGGGCAACTGATAACAGGAACATTTCTCATTACATTCGAAGAGCAAATAAAAGTGAACGACTCGATATTCCGCTCTTTAACATAACGGGCCAGTAGGAAATATTGAGTTTGCCGTACTTGAAGCTAAATTTTGTAAAAGGGCTCTACGAGGAACACCAGAAGGTACGACGTCAACGCGATCTTCAAGTTATCATTGACGGCTTCAATGGGAGAAAGGAAGTAGTGAATACGATTGCCCCAGCAGACGTTGCCCAACAGCGTTGACAGCTACAACCACGACGGATGCAAGGTCAGCGTAACCAGCGGATGTTGCCCAACAGCGTTTTCAGCTACGCTATCCAATAGCGTTCCCAGCTCGACGTTGCAGTTCTTGCCTCACGTGATATTGGGCCATCTGCACTAAACAGTGGATCAGCAGCTGTAGGTGTATGGTGTAGGGCCTCGCAAGTAAATCGACACCGAAATTTTATAATTTATGTAGACCGAATTTCATATAGACGTACACGAAAACTATAGAAACTATTTTTTGCCTATATTTGTTCCTACGATTTGTTTTATTAAGAAAAATACACTTTATTTTAATAATTTTACTCGATGTTTTTTCTTAAAATTTTTTTAATTCAATATAATGTAAAATAATCGAACTTATTTTATTCATTTTAGTTTAACAACAGGACGTTTTTCAAAAGTATCCACCCGTACATATACAAAATGTGATATTGTTTTTAAGACCGAAAAATTCAAAATTTTTTTCTTTGTGCAGTAATTCAACATTTAAGTGTGTTGATTCAACTAACGAACATTTCTTTTGTGAAGAAATGAAAGCAGTTCGTATTGCAAGCTCTGTTAATTATTTTAGTTCAGTATCGAGCACCTCCTTGACTTTTGCGGCAAAAAACAATTACTGCATTGCTTCGGTGTTCATATGCCAAATAACGGAAACATTTTCAGCGTTGTGCTTTTCCAGTTGCAGGGTTCGAACCTTGGAAAGATTTCGATTGTTTTTGTAGTCGCTGTAAGGCGATTTAATATTAAGCCAATTCCCTGCTCCATCTTGGTCATACAATATATCAAGTTTTGGAGAAGTGCCTATAAATGACAGCGTACGTACGGGTTGATGGCGCGGGTACTTATATTCAATTTTATTCAGTCTTGCCTTTGCGCAGCTTGGCTCCTCAACATTCCTCAATTCAACTTTAACGTTACTCGTTTCACATAAAAGTAAAGATACGTCGATATTAATAAAAGGAGTGGGCTCTAGTGCATTCGGAACAGATGTCTGGCTGCTACTTGTCATTTTGGTGAATTTTGAAAGAGTTTCCACTTCCCGATGCCATAATGTGCCAGGAACCTGGCTGGCAATAAAAAAAGCTCCGGCTAACGTTATTATGCTTGCTGCATAACTTATCGCTAGTACTGATAGACTGTTAACGAGAAATTTCGTCCATTCAAGGCTAGGCAGCAACTGCACCAGTTCACTGTATGTGAGCCACCCTCTACGAAGTCCCTGCTGCTCAGCCAAAGTACGTTCAACATTTTTTAACTTATCGAAGAAGAGCTCATTGGATATGTATATATTCCAACCCTAGAAGAAACTTTTTTTATTTTTGAAGTTTTAACCTTTTTAAAGTTTACCATGGCGGAAAGAAACTCGAGCTCGATTATCTTAAGCCTATCTTCCGTCATACTAGCTTCACTGGCCCAGTCTTCAAGATAGAACCGTTCGTCATGGCCCGCATAGAATTTTGTGGAAATCATCTGTAAAGATTTTAAATATTATAACCAAACACACTAATTATGGACGAAACATAGTATGTATCAAGGGATAATAGTCAAGCAAAGGTGGATGTGCTGACACAGTGAATACCGCAGTCAAATTCTACAATTAAATATTTCTGCTTAAGTCCAAGCCAGTTTTCAGCCATTTATTTATCTAACTGTTCCTTAAACATTCTTATAATAAAATAATCAGTGATTTTCTATGCAACTCACCAAGGCTAAATCAAAACAAGATAGAATGCTCTAGTCGAGTTCCCCGACTATCAGATACCCGTTACTCACTCAGCTAGTAGAAGTGCTACCGAGAAATTTCAAAATTTTCTGAAATATCGGTAGAAATTGGGGAAAAAATAATGAAATTAAATATAAACTTACAATTTTTTTAAAAGTGTGGGCGTGAGAGTTTTTTGCGATTTGTGGGCGTGGCAAAAAGTATTATTGAAATTTACAAAATATGTATGTACATAAAAGTGAAAAAATATCACATTTTTCAAAAGTGTGGACTTGACATTATTGGGCAGTCTGTGGGCGAGGCAAAAAGTTTTTTTTGGCAAATCTACAGAATTTTACAATATATATAAAAAACTGAAAAATATCACATTTTACAAAAGTGTAGCCGTTACAGTTTTGTGCGGTTTGTGGGTGTAGGACTGGGCGTTACAACATTTAGAAGCAAACTTGCACTGCGTCTATCTGCATGCTTAATCTCAACATACTATATTTTGTAGTTCCTGAGATCGAGGCGTTTTTACGGACGGACATGGCCAGATCGACTCGGCTATTGATACTGATCAAGAATATATATATCTTATATTGCGTTCCTATTGCGTGTTACATACTTTTCAACGAATCTAGTATACCCTTTTACTCTACGAGTAACGGATATAATAATATAATATAAAATATATTCGACGTTTGTATTAGTTTGCAAGTCGATAAGAAGTTTGATGAGGACTTACTAGTGACACAACAAACAGCTCCTGTGGGGTGATTCTGCAGCTATAGCCCGAGTCGATGACACTTAAGCGATCTAGGTATATCAACGCCATAATTAAAGAGCAAGGCGTGGCATGCACTTGTGCAGCAGATATGCAACTAAGCCGATGTAAGGAATGGCCGCGGTGCGTCTCCGAAAACAAATCTGCCGCGTACTCCGCAAAGGGTAAAGAGACAGACATGTCTGTGTCTGGTGTTCCAAAACCATAGTACAGGCTTTTTCGAATGCGTTTTATAAAGTCTTCATACTTCATTACCTAAAAAGTTATCAAATTTTCAAATATACATAACTTTGTAAGTAATTATTTGTTAATACCTTTCTCGGCGTAGAGAATAACTTCAAACAACCCATTTGGAAACTGAACTAAATACGAAAATATTAATTAGTCATATAAACTCGCCGATGACAATAAGTTTAACATTAAGCCCATACATTTTAAAAACGCGTCAAGATGCCGACGGTAACATAGAAACGTTCTGAGAAACGATGAGATAGAGACACTTTTTTTTATTTCTCTGAATTTGAATAAATAAATCACATCAAAAGTAGTTTCCAAAAGCAAGGACCATAAAAGTTAATTACAAATAGAAAACAGTAACGATTACTCTCATTATTTTGATACAGATGTATATGAATATATTTCCGTTAAACCACTCTTGATACAAACTCATTGTCACTAAGTTACTTATTTAGAAAGTTGTTTAAATATTATTAGATTATCAAGCCAATGCTTCTAAATTATGTTCATAAAGATTAATATCATCTTTATATAAAATAGCTTTACATAAAGCAACAAATATTTGAAGTTTAACCCAAATGTGAAATACCGAATCAATATGACCGTTGAGCCAGAAAATCAACGAATCTTACGAAGTCTCGATGCTTTTAAAAATAACATCTTGTTCGATACATCGAAATGCAATGTTGTACGTGATTCCATATCAAATGTAGAATATAAAAAATAATATCCACCCAAGCTATGGAAAACATCAATGCAGATCAATACATACCGCCGCCGATATTTCCAGCTCTGTCAGAACACATTGATCATTCTAATCACCATCAGGTCTTTTTTAACGCAATTGATTAAAACTAACATTAGGCATATAATTTTGCTGCAAGACTATTGGTTCCAAAAGATTTTATTGGCGGTCAAATTAAATGCAATAAATCGATATTATTATTTTTTTGTACACTTCAGAGCTAGCCAGAACTAGCTGAACTAATACTTTACATTGCATTACATACATTGTCAAAATTCATGGCTTTATCAGTCTGTCGATAAATGGTTATGAATTTTTGAAAACTAGGACTGGTTGCTCTTTTAACTTTTCACAGCGGACATACATTGTTTAATATTAAGCATTTAAGAACTTCAGAAATAATAACTTAAGTATCTTTTTTATATTAAAATGTTAAATAGATAACTTTTTTTTAAACATGTATCTAGTGAAAGATGTTTTTACTACCATTTCTTATTTTTTTTAAATATAAGCATAATATGGTTGAAAAGTATGTGCTTTTTAATATATGTACCGCAGTTTGTCATGGGTTACGAAAGCGAATGTGTAATGAGCGAATAGCAGAACGATAAGCCAAAAGGATAAGCGCCAGAGTATAGAGAAACCGTGGGAGACGAGCTTAGATGCTCCCGCAGCTTTTTTGCAAAGATATCAAAAAATTATCGCACAGCTGAGGTCGGCAATAAATAAATAAATAAATTTGAGAGATCTTCAGCCGACTATCTATTCGATGAAGTCCAACATGGTCAATGAAGGGTGAAAGCGAGGCAAGTGATGGCTTTACTATTCCTTACGGAGATTTTACAAGCAAGACTCTTCGACTAAGTTCCAGTATTTGCTTCTGTCACAATTTTGTAGGTGGCCAATTATAGGGCTAATGTCCATGGGCTTCCTTATTGGGTGGAGCAGCCATGTCAGACGAAACATTGGGTTCATTTCAGCAGACCCCCTTCGAATGTTGGGAATCTGACTATGACCAACCTAACATTTTTGATTCGTGAGGTATTTTATTTTGCGCCTAAGAGAATTTGAATATCTACCCGATCAGGGCCTATAGTATGCTATGTGGCATGTCTAGTTGATTGTTCTATGACCTCCTGCATGATAGTTCGTACTTCTCTTATGATCCTGAATGCTCTCTAATGCTAATCCATCAAAGTGTCGCATGGTTGAAAACATTAATGTGGAGAATCCCGGATGCTTTCCCGATTAATTCAGGACTTCATTTCGGAGTCACCAAAAGGATTGGGATCGTTCTAGATGCAGGGATCGTTCCGGCAGCTTCTCTGCATATTTACGTTAATAAGGAACGATATACAAATTGCAAAGCTGGGGTGCCGTAGACCATAATTGTGTTATTCTTAAATAAAAGCTGATTTGCAGTAACGTTTTCAGAATTTTTAGCAGCCATGGCAACAGCAACAACTATAAACTGGCAGAACAGCGCCTCAATATTAGGTTTAAGCGGGAAGAATAGCTACTTAGCTATGAACGCGTATAACTCCTTATGTACATATGTATGTATGCTTGCGTAACCAATGAATATATTGAGGATGAACTGAAAGACTTCCTCCACGTTCCGATCCATGAGATTTGCGACAGGTTCCCGTATGTTGGCCTTAATAGAGTTTTTCTAACTAAGCTAGAGCAAGTGTTTTGCACGAAATAGCGAACAGTTTCCAAGCACTACTTTCTTATCTTTTCTGTTAATCGGAGCATTACAAGAATAAAAACAAAAGTTCTCTGTTAACCATGTTAACTATGTTAACTTTTACTGCTATTTTCTTTTTTTGAATTTTTCCTGAATTTGACATTTTATGGCAACTATATAAAATCGGCTATAACTAGAGTTGATGCAGAATAACTTCGTACAGCTTTCTAATTGACAAGTGAGAGCAGTCAAAAGATACTTTAGAAATTATATTTGCTGGCAACTTGCAATTCACGTAGCTATCAGATGTATTTTTGGGGCTTAGCATCAGTAGTGCCTTGCGAAAAAAAAATATAACAGCCGAGCGACTATTAAGTATGGATATTCTATTAGAGTTAAATCTTTAATGTTCTCTAATAAGTGTTCGTCTAGTCCATTCTAGTCTAGTGTTCGCTAGCTAGTGTTCGCTCGAAGCAAGATTTCCGGATAGCTGAAGCTAAGGCTATTTTCATCTATTGGTGTAAGTCAACCCTTGACTCGAGAATCGAGAAACCTCGATTTGATATCCGCTGCTGAATAGCAAAGTCGTAGGCCTTCTTAAGGATCGCGCTTTTCCTTATGAAATGCAATAGTAATATTAAGAAAATACACTTAATTAATGTGAATGCGATTAGAAAATCTATATCTTTGAACGTTGTAATTATTAGAGGCTTGCCCCTCGTTGTGCACCAAAAGGTATGTAATGGTTAACTAACAATGAATTCCCGGCACACGCGGTACCCAAAACAACTTTTTGGATCTGACACTTTTTCTAAGCTAGGAAGAACGGCGGGTGGAATCATGTGGTGCCGTGGCTCTTTCGGCGATGGGTTGGGTTGAATTGTCTTCCCTAACTGTGCACATATATTAGTTTGGCAAATATCTCCCTTCCGCCTTTTTGTCTTTTGAATTTCGCGGCTATGTACAAAGCGCTACAGAGCTCGTTCAGAGCGGACAACCTATTATAATAATAGGTTGGCAAATATCTTCCTTCCGCCTTTTTGCTCTTTATTCAATGCTTTATAAAAAGTGTTACAGTGATCGGATTTAGTTCAAATATACGCCGTTTTGTTCGATAGTCCGTTTCCATCTAGACGGCAACTTCATAATACCTCCCTCGTAGAAGCCCCCTCCTTATTTGCGAAGAACTCGGACAGCCACTTTTCACAAGCCTCTTTTGAGTTCAACTTTACACCACCAAGGGCATTCGCCATGGACAGGAACAGGTGGTAATCACTTGGCGCTATGTCCGGGCTATATGGTGGATGCGATAAAACCTCCCATCCGAGCTCCCGTAGCTTCTGACGAGTCATCAACGAAGTGTGTGGTCTGGCGTTGTCCTGGTGGAACACTACACTCTTCCTGTTGGCCAATTCTGGACGCTTCTGGTCGAACGCCTGCTTCAAGCGGCCCAGTTGTTCGCACTAGATGGTAGAATAAAGCGTCTGGCCATATGGGAGCAGCTCATAGTGGATGATTCCCTTCCAATCCCACCAAACACACTGCAAAACCTTCCTGGCCGTCAATCCCGGCTTGGCCACTTTTTGGGACGATTCACCGGCCTTCGACCACGACCGTTTTCGCTTGATATTGTCGTATGTGATCCATTTTTCGTCGCCAGTCACCATCCGCTTCAAGAATGGGTCGAGTTCGTTCCGTTTCAGCAGCATATCGCAGGCGTTGATTCGGTCCAGAAGGTTTTTTTGCGTCAAATCATGCAGCACCCAAACATCAAGCTTTTTTTTGTATCCAGCCTTCTGCAGATGGTTTAAAATGGTTTGGTGACTAACTCCCATCTCCTGGACGATGTCACTAGATGCCACATGCCGGTCTAACTCGATGTATTCCATGATTTGATCGGTATTTGTCGTCACAGGTCTTCCGCCGGCTGGCTTATCCATGGTGTCGTTTTCATCGGCTCTGAATCGTCCCCCAAAACACCATTAATCTCACGGAATGTTTCTCTAGCGGATTTGCCTTTAACGAAGAAAAACTTTAAAATAGCGCGAATTTCGGCGTTAGTGAACTCCATGTTTACACGTCTATAACTGTTGAACGCAATATCCAAACTAATCATGCATAGCGTCGTTTTGTAGGTTATGTCAAGACCTTTCAAATTATGTATAGTATTGTCAGATACGAGCTCTGTAGCGCTTTGTACATAGCCGCGAAATTCAAAAGACAAAAAGGCGGAAGGGAGATATTTGCCAAACTAATATATAGGAAAAATATGAATCTTAATAACCTTAATACAAGTCTTCTTAATCGTACATATATTTATTAAAAAGTGTAAGTCTTTAAAAAGACTTGAGCTTGTAGTATGTTGCGTCGATGATTTGGGGTGTTTATCAATAGATAGCACTGGATTGATGATTTTGGTGGCGCCCCCTTTGGCCGTTTGAGTTCGCTCAGAAATAATGTCCCCAGATCCATTTCGGGAGAGAATTAGATATATTGCGGAGGGCATATGAAGTTATTTATTAATGCAATGGTTCTTAGAATAACCGGGGTTATTAAGCGTTAGGGTAGGGTTCCCTACCTTAATAATTGTGAGCCAATCCGGAGTCTGAATTGCGAGTCTACATTTTCCTCGTGACAAATTTTTAGTAAGTCTGACGGAGAAAGTACAATGCATACTCACGATTTCGCACGTCCCGTTTATACCTTGGAGCCCTTATACCAGGATTAGGTGACCCTGTATACGTCCGATTTCAGTGCTGTAATCACAAGCACCTCACACATTGCGGGGCAAGTCTTATGCG